GCCAAGTACTCAAAAGTTAGTGAACACCAACGTATAACCAGAGGTTGGGAGAAATTGTATGTATGTCATTATATTGCGGAGTGCATGGAAATTGCATCACAGTACAGAACAGCAAGACCGTTTACCACAAAAGACCCTCAAATTTAGTGACTTTTATAGAGCTGCACAGAGAGGATCTTTTGCCTCATCTTCAGAGTATTGATTTTCAGGTACAAGTATCTTCCCAGTGTGGGTCTCTGAATTGCAGAGAAACTCAGTAAATGTGCTCGCTGCTCATCCAGCTTTCACTAAAGACATTTGTATTACGGATTTATTTCACAACCTGAAAGTGCCACACCATCCATTTTGAGTATGCAGCTTCATTAAGGTACAAGTTTTCAATGATCAACATTGAATTATATATCAAGATTTCATTAGCTAACATTTTTAAATCATTCATTATGCATTATGAAGATATCTATAATGTATTATGATGACTGCTTTAAGTAAAGTGTTACCAATATTTCAGAAGAAAAAAAAATTATATCCTCGTGCCCCAAGTGCTGGGGCTCAGCGGCCGGGAGCAGAGTAATGATGCATCAGTCAAGACCCCATTACAGAGAAAGAACCACAACAAAACCTGCACCAGCGACCCAGCAAGACGTGGGAAGAAGGATGTTGCTGCGATGGGACCGAGGTGGAGCTCCCCAGACAGAATTCAAGACGCTGTTTGAGGCACAAAGCCAGCTCTGGCCATGATGTCGGAATACAGTTTACCAACAGTGTCACGTCAGGGGACTTTCAGAGAGCAGGCACTGGGAATCTCGTTTAAGGGAAAGGAAATATGGGTGACCCCCCCCCGCAAGATGAGGCACCTGAGCTGCTGTTAGTGCACCAGCATCTTCCGAGGAAGACAACTATAGAGCCAAACCGCAGAGGAGAGGAAGACGCTCGACCGTGCAGCGTAGCGTTAACTGCATCGGCTGCGTATTCCAGCAGAATTAGCGTGAGCAACTAGCCGATTATTATTGTGATGTTTTATCGCAGAACCACATCATTCAGTATTTAATATGGATGAAGCAGGAGCAAATTAAAGAAGAATGCTGCATCTACTTTGTACTTTAAATCGCACAAATACTAAATGCCAGTGCAGATTGAGTGTATCCAGCTAAACTGGCATTCCCTGTGGTCATTTGAAGAGTAATTATGAGGTAAAACCGTATTATGTTTATCCTTATTTGACCTTTATCAAATGCCAATTTACTACAGCAGAAAAAAAACAGTAAAAAAAATGTACCATCCCTAATCACAGGCCGTGGAATTCGCAATCAAATCAGAGGAATCGCAGCAGAACAATCAAAACAGAAGAGGAGCCATCGCAGTAAAACCTGCCCAGTAAGAGGCCCGATCTCAGCGAGGACTGCGAGTGTGGGCCTATTCTCAAACCATTTATTCATCTCCCTACACATCTGCAATTTTCAGAATTTTTCACATTTCTCACGTTAAATTTAATCAGATATGTCTGTGGATTGCTATAGGTAGAGGCGAAATTCTGAGAGGAATAAATTAATTTCACGCTTCTTTATACTTGCTTTGAGTACAAGATAATCAAAAATGCTGTCCTAATTACAAAACAGCAAGTAGGGTGACCCATTTTAAAAGTAACGATCTGCCTTGATTTGGGCCACACACCTTAAGTACAAATCGGAGTGGCTTTGCCCCTTACTCTCCAAATACGCCATAAGTGCCCAAGTTTAGGGGCACACTATGACCCGATCAAACTAATCCAAAACATGCCTATGTATAGGCAAAGGGTTACAGAATCATTCATAGGGTCCACGGTCCACCAAACCACAAATAACACAGACAAAAGTGAGGGCAGGCCCTCCTAGAAGCAGCCATCTTGCTAAAATCCCTCAAGAAAATAAATCATACGGGGCGTTGCAAAAACCATTACAGCAACATCCAGAGCACCTGCAGTAGATATGGCAGAAACCAGCGACCACTAAGCATGGTCCTCGTGGGATGGGATCCAATCTTCGATGGAAAGATGAGTCATAGTGTCATGTTTGGCAAAATCCAAAACGGTGCAAGAACCTCGCGCTAGCAGCCACGCATGGCGGATGATGGTGATGCGATGCTTTTCGGATGTTCTGTCGCATGGCAGGACTTGGATGGCAATGCGATGGGAGGAACCACAAATTATATTCTGTAATATGAGAATTCCAGACCATCTGTCCTTATACTGCAACAGTCATCCAGGAAGACCCAAAACACAGTGATCTACACTCAACTGGCAAAAGAACCCAGAAAAGGTGTTAAAGTTAAGGGATGGTTCAGTCAACGTCCGGCAATGGACAGCTTCTGCACGAATGCCAAAGGTGAACTGGGCTGAAATAGCTCTGTGGGGCTCGGAGAGAGCTTGTCAGAGGTTTACTTACACAAAAATGTTCTGAGGGCAGAAGGAAAAATGGTTGGTTCAGAGAGATAACCAATCAGATTTTAGAGGTCATGTCTCGCAACTAGAGGAGGCAGGAACCAAGACATCTGATTGGTTGGCCCCACCTCCTCTAGTTGCTTGGACCCATCTCCTCTACAATCTGATTGGTTATCTCTCTTAAACAATAATTTTTCCTTCTGCCCTCAGAACATTTTTGTGTAAGTAAACCTCATGAGCTCGACTGACCGATAACTACAGAGAATTTGGCTTCTATCACTGCTACTAAAGCTGGGATCAATTGTTATTGATATACTGTATAGGGGAACTGGAAATTACAAAAATAAATGTCGATTAGTGTCATCTATTATCCATTATTTAAAAAATATAGACACTTTTCAAAATGCTGTATGTATACATGCCAGCCATAAAAATTAGTACAGCACTGAGTTAATTTCTGTTGACTCAGGGACTGGATGCTGTAATGAGCAGGTAATCGTTTCAGGTCTGCTGGTAGCCAAGCCGCGGCCCCGCCATCCCGAGCCGCTCAGGAAGGGCCAACCACATGGGGGCGCCAATGACAGCCTACAGGAAGTTCAGCTAAAAGCCAATCAATAGGGTTTCTGTCAGCTCTGCCATAGGGACACCAGGCACACATGTGGTCAATCAATACAGGTCCACAGCCTCCAGATGTGAGAAGCTGGAACATCTGGACAACGGTATGTGGGGGCTCGGTGGAGGGGAGGGGGGGGGTTCACTTACATGCCTCTCACCTGCGTGGATAGTGGTCAGCTACCAGCCCCATGGCCGCAGGTGAGAGGTTGTGTTACCCGATCACCTCTGCGCTGAGGTGGGATAAGCCCCCCCTGAAGGGAATGGAGCATGTTGCAATGCACAATAGGAAAAAAAACACTTTTTTCCCCCCTCTCTAAACGGCAGGGATACTTAGACAATTTAGCAGGAAGTCTGCTGTGGAACACTGCTTGCCTGGGTATTTATTTTTCCGCGTGCATTTTTTCTACCAATAGATGGCGCACTTTAATTTCCACAACAACCATCATTCACAGGACGGCGTCACATATTAAAATCCGAGCTGAAATAGAAAAATTCCCCAGCCGTTATGGTTATAGATTTAACAACTTGTCACATGACAATAAAATGGTAGGTTTTAGCACAACAAGAAGCAAGTGTCTTTTTTTTTTATTTTTGTGTGTGTATGTGTAATGGGCGGGGGAGGGGGGGGCAGGAGTGTACAAAGGAATATTAACAGGGTAGGACATGATTAATTTATAGCACAGCAGTAGCCCAGCTGTTTAAATTAGGGCTTTAGGAAATGGTAAGTCCATCCAGCCTGAATATTCAATAGAGCACACACACGCACACAATATCCTACAGAGTATTCTATAGGCAAGCACAATGCTGCTGAACAATTCAAATAATCAATCTGCAATATTAAAAGATTCATTTCACATTATGTTTAAAACCACTGGCTTGATCACAGATACAATACAACTATCACTGCTACTACAAATGTCAATGCTGATTAAAATAATAATGATATTAAGAAGAAGAATCAATAAAAAACATCAGTAATATTGAACCAAAGAGACAGGGTTTGGAATAACCCCCCCACTTCCCGAACCCCACGGAATCTCTCACAAAGAAAGCAAAAAATTCTGCACCTTTAACAGCTTTTTACTCATTTCACCCAAGTACCAGACCACAAAATGTGGTCCCTCGGAGATGGTCTGTATTCTGTCATCAGGCAGATTCAGCTAGACCCAGATTGGTTGAAAAATGCAAGCAATCAAATGCCAAAAACCGGTCATCGCAGTTTAATTTTGACCCAAAATTGCCGGGGACCTGGAAGCCGTGCTCAGCCAGTAGCTGCTGCTTTATTTACAAGCGCTTTGATAGATTCCACACCGCCGCCGGCAGTAACACTATCTAGTGTTCAAACTGTAAACTAATCTCATGTCAGACATGTTCCTTTGATATAATGCAATCAATACTTTCTGGAGAAGCAAACCGTTTCTGATGTTTCTGCGTTTACTTCAGCAACATTACATAGGCTTATTTCATTTCGGGGTGACCCAAAAAAATGCTCTAAACAAATGTACAAAAAGATGTCTTTAGACGTTTCCAACACCAAACGTTTCTGGATCAACACACTAACACAAAACACAGCAGCTAGAGTTTGTGTTGAATCACTGGGAAATTTGGCAGCAAAATTAATACCCATCAGTTCCAGTCTTTTGTTAACATTGCAGAATTATTATATAATGTCACAATTTTGCACACTCATGATCCTACATTTGATCTATAATATTTAACTAAAAATCATACAACTTTTCTTAAATACATTTATGCATTGACTGCAAGGTTTGCATTTGATTAGCCTGGTAACATTGTATCATTCATACACACAAACCAACATAAAAATGGTACTTCTGTTCTTCTCAGAGTTGGTGTTATTGGATCAGTGTAAACCCTCCTCTCACTGTCCCTCTCATTCGTTGCATGTTGAGCTGCAGCTTACATGAGCTTCTAATGGTTTTTATTCATCACCCACTGGCATCAGCCGTTCATTTATCATGTTTATTTTGGCATTGGCACCCGTTGCATTTAAATGTTTTACAGTAAACATTATGCATTTTGGACTCTCCAATTAAAACGTGATGCATCATCCCTGGCAAGTCTAACCCTCCGTAAGGCCAGATGAACTAATGTGCCAAAAGCCCATAAATCACCCTGTCACGGCCGGCCAATCGGACAGCAGCGGGCCCGTGCAATGCGTAGAGCTGTATCCCTGAAGATAATGCCCTAATTTGCTTGCATATTCCACTGCCGCGCTAAACTGCGTGCTAAAAAAAATGAGCGGAGGACACCCAGGAAATGATGGGATCCTTGATGACTGGCGATTGGAAAGGAGGCTCGTAAACAAATTTAAAGTGGCGTTTGTAAATTAGGCAATTTAGTTCTAGCACTAACATGAAATGAAATCTGCAATATGACGAGCAGACCTGTAGGGGGCGAGCCCTTCTCTGAAGCAAAATCCAGCGGGGGAAGTCAAAATTTGCTTCAGCTAGGGATGCTGGGAGTCAGCGAAAATCCAGAGCGAAGGATTCGTCCGTCCGGAGTGATCCAGTGACTCACAAATTGTCACCTAGAGCCAAGTGCAGAATAAAAATGTACCGTGGGTTTGGTTCTGATTCAGCCCGGTTATTTTGACATGGTCACTCGCTCTCTCTCTGTCGTGAGCAAGGGTCCTTCAGTAATAAGCTTTAAGGTCAGCATTCTTTCCACATCACAGCCAGGCTTCTCCATTAACAAATTTAGCATCCTGTATTATATCACAAAATCTAAAAAGCACCATGGAATTGGTGGAAAAAATTTTGTCCACAAAAAAAAAAACCCACCAATTAACACACAAATATTATACAGCTGACATATAGCACTTTAGGAGCACATGCTAGATGATTAAACTTTTAAGCGAAAAGCTTTATAACGGAAACACATTACTACCTTCCTGAAAGTGGAATCTGAAAGTTCTTTGAAGTCAAAGTGAGATGCAGGATAAGCAGGTAGACTGAGTGCAGGGATGACCCACATTTCAAAGAGAATTAACGCATGAGTGGAAATCTAACCGAACACATCAGACAGAACTTCCTTTTACATTTTTGATCTGTTTGATATTTTGATTATTGTCCAAGAGAAGGTGCTAGTATTAAAGAAAAAAGACTTAGGCCTACGTGTTACATTTAATGAAAAGTAAAACGCTGTAAAGCATACAGTATCCTTATCACATTATGATAATTATAATGCAAGCACTGGAGTATGCAACACTGTAAGAGAGTAAAGAATCAGAAAGGAAGCACAGGAGGACACTGACAGTCCTCAGTGTGTGTGTGTGTGTGTGTGTGGGGGTCAGTAATTATGGCGGCTGGTGTGCACCCATCCACCAGGAAACTCCAGGGAGAGTAATTATGAGTCTACATACACCATCATTACACAGCGACAAAGGCTGCCGGGGCGTACCTGCCGTCTCAATGCAAGGGGACTCACTGGCCATCACTCCCCCGCCAAGAGGAGAGGCACGGTCCGTGCTCTCAGAGTAGGGGGCAAACGGAGCAGCTCACTGCAGAACCTGGGGGGGGGTGTACAAGGTACAGACAACAGTCTCATTAAACAAAAGAAGAAAAAAAAACAGTATCTTCCACAGGTTCCTTTGTGAACACGACAGCACCCCAGAGCACTGATCTTTCACAGAAAAAAATATAGATATGAGTAGATATGGGAAGGATAAAATATAAACATCAAAGACCTGAACTAGGTATTAATATTACTGGATGGATGGATAGGTAAATGGAAGGCTGAGCAAAGCAGCTTCATACAGCACTTGTTCGACTTCTTTATTCATAAATAAACCCACAGGCTTGTTGTACAGCGGGCTGTTAATCTACCCACATTTACAAGTTAATACACGTCGTGCTACTAAATAATTAAGAACGGGATTTTGGGGGGGGGGGCGTCTGCGCTGACAGCGATCCTACGGCGCTCCGTCCCGTCATGTGACCGTAAGGGAGACGCCCCTCCCACCCTGGCAGCGCTTCATACCCCCCCCTATTTATCATGCTCACTCATCTGTGGCCTAATTTGAATATGCAGCGTCCTTTCATGTCTTAATTGCTGTAAATTGCACTGCCCTGGCACCGTTCCCTAAATTAGTGCCAGTCAGTTGTTTTGGCCAAGCTATCAAAGCCGTGGGGATATCAATTAATGCTTTAATGGATCTGCATTTGAATTCCTTAAATACCGCGTTTTGAAGTTAAATCAGCGCGTGTGTGGGCCCGGCCGTTACGGTAGACATCCGGCGCTATGGATTCCGCTGGGATGCCGCAGTCCATCGGAGAGCAACAGTGAAGATCATCGTGGCGATATAAGCGCGAATAAACCAGCCACATCAGCCCAAGCTGACGAGTGAAATGTCCATATCAATATTTAGCGAAAAATAAATGTTATGATAAACACAATATGTTTACTGAGTGGTTAATAATTAACAACCATTGTCAAACGAGATCAATCATATCTGTCTGTTTATTCCCGATGCACGTCCACGTTCTAAATATCCTTAGGTGTAATAATGTTTGCGTTTAGGATTAAAAGTATAAAACATCAATAAACAGAAGGTTTTCCTGAAAGAAAAATAATATATAGCAGTGATTAATTTAAAATCTGTACATTATAGTGCCTGAAGCTTAATCAATATCCTGCCATCATCTGTACTGACACGTCTCATTAAATGATTAAAGGATTTGCAGAATCCATGATTGTTAAAAGAATTTTTTTTGTTTTTTCCCCTCAAGGATAAACCTTCATTTCATAGCTACAAAAAAACATAATAATAATAATAATAATAATAGTAAAATAAGAACAAGTGTGGGTAAATCAGATTGGTAGGTGTGCGCACAGATAGACCTCTTTGTGTTTGTGTCAGTAATCAGTCGTACGCTGACATTAAATTATACATCCACACATACGTGATTGGAAGGATCATAGGTTCCGGAATGTTCTGCTGGGGGGGCTGGCAGGCCGGGCTCAGAGTGATGGGCCACACCTCACTGAAGCAGTGTTAATTTTGACAGCTTATTTTGATTTAACGTGTGCCCTGAGATGGGTTAGCACACCAGCCTGGGCTGCTCCCTGCCTCGCACCCGTAGCTTCAGGGATGGACTCCAGACCCCTGTGACCTTGAATAGGACAAGCAATTACAGAAAATGGATGGATGGATTTTGATTTCGTTTTAGTCTTGGTCATTTGCTGAAAATGCAATCTAGTTTTAGTCATATTTTAATCATCTGACGTTTTTGTTTTAGTTGACAAAAATGACATGATTTTTAGTCAAGTTAATCTGTGGAGCAGGTTTAGTCATAGTCTAATATATAATTTTCAAATTTCTTTGAAAATTTCACTTCGCTATCTTGAGACACATACAGACTGGTCTCTAATCTACCTCTGACCTCTCTACAGACTACTGAAGGCAACATCTGAAAGGCTGTTATTATGGGATGGCATTAAATTTGAACATGTGATCTTTAAGGACACATTTAACTGCTGATGTGCTAATATGAAAGATTGTACTAATTCTGAAATGGCTTTATATGAACTTAATTTATCATTAAATGAACTATAAATTAAGCCAAAATTTAGTCTCAAACAAAACACTTGCATATGAGGCATTTAGGCCAACGAGAATAAAAAAACACCAAAGCAGAGAACCTGACCAAAGAAAACAGACGTGTTCTCTCAAAAAACATAAACCAGCATCAGGCTAACTGGGCAGAGCTTATTTCAACACCAGGCTCAGGCCCTGAACTTTTCAAGGACATTAAAAGAAAAATCAGCTGTTTCTTTTTATTCATTTCATGGCGCTTCGAGTTTTTGGTGTTTTCACCAGTTAGTGTCGCTCCACACAGTTTCAGTCGCACTTTCTTTTGCATCAGATGTGAAATTTACCCATATTTCGGTACGTTTTTTTCCTACTCTGGCACAGACTAAACTTGGGCAGGGTATAATTTTTCAGATAAAATTTGCCAAGCAGGGAGCTGGATTGTCCCGATGAAAGGCATCAGCCACTTTCTGTCAGGCTGCTCTATTCCTTTGGCGAAAGCGTCAGTCGATTTCCCAGTAGTGTAAGTTTTATTTTATTATTCTCTCTTTTTCAACAACGAAAAGTCTTCGTTGATTAATAATTTTCGTCACAGATTCCTCAACGAAAAGTCTTTGTTAACGAATACTTTTTGTCACAGTTTTCGTCAACGGAATCACCACTGAGCCTCATGTCCTTGCAGGCGAATTAGATTCATTCAGGAAAACATACATGGCGGCTGACGGGCTGCAGTGCAAACCCCCCCCACCCCCCCTCCACACCGCCTGTCTAGCTGCGACGTAGCTTTTCCCAGGACACACGAGGCCAAGGACACCCCAATCAGGAATGCTGCAGGATATCTGCCAAAAACTTTTCCAAAGAACGGGACGGCATTTGCACGAGATTCTTTTTCTTATCTCTTGTCACATAGCTAATCACGAAAAAAAAAAAAAAACTTTTTGGTTTAAAACAAACTTCTTTAAAATACACTGAATCATTTCAGAACACGATGACATTGATTTGAAGCAGAACAAAAAGCTGCATGCGAAATGACTAAAACGGTCCCCCGCCTCCCCAAAGTAAACCGCTCGTCGCAGGATATGCGCGGCTGCGCGTCGAGATAAAGCCGCAGAGGAGGGGATGACGCAGCGCTTATTTGGAGCCATCATACGTTCCGTCGCCATTGTCGGCTATAAGCAAGGCGCGCGTTTGGTTCACATTGGGGGGGGGGGCTAGCATCCCTACCCTCCCCGTCAAAGCATGCGAGTAATGCACACCAGGCCCCACAACATGGCGACAGAGAAAAACACGGCTTCAGCTACTGCAGACCGTGCTTCACTGTCAGTCGCCTCTACGCTACCTACACGGCTAGACCGTGAGCGTCTCTGCTAAAACTCTGAGTCATTGTAAGACAAACAAGTGCCATTCGTAATTAGGTTAGGATGAGAGCTGGATTTTACAGCGAGGTGTAGGCGATGAGGAGAATGGGCGCTTGAAGCATGTCTGACGTTACCGTCTAGAGCTACTGCCCATTAATGTTCATTATGATTTGTCGTGAGGTCAAACTTGCATTCTGATGATTCTTATCATACTTTGAAAAAAGTTAACTAGCAAATTCTATTTATAATACCCATCCGTGTTCCATAAGTGCTTACCCATTACATGGTCTTGGTGCAATTATTATCGTGTTTGTTTTAAATTGTATATTGTAGTCATGCTGAACGTTTTATAACACCGCTATTAAGAAATAGTGTATTCTCTTATAGTAACGCGATACAGTCTTTAGTATAGTAAGGGCAGCCAGTAGATTTATCAAGAGCAACAACTCAATTCACATTTTATTCTAATTGGAGAAGGATATACGATTACTGGACTTTCTACCTGACATTTCCAGAATATTCTGGGTGATGACACAAGAAAGCAGGCACAGAGATTGGAGGAAAAGCACAGGAGTGGGCGGGGCCTCCGTTTCTAGATGCCTGAGTGATGAGCTAGCCTTAGTATCTCTGTGTCGTGCTGGATGCTGGGGGGGGGGGGCACATAGACCGTGTCAGGCCCCCTACCTCCTTATTGGACATGCTCCCCCGCCGTTCAGGCCTAGGGCTCATGCATTGTCTCTAACACTGACACACACACACACACACACACACACACACACACACTGCCAAGCTAGAAAACCATCTGTATTCACATCCCGCCAGCATAATGGTGCATATTCCAGGCTCCCCGCTCTGCTCATACATTTTTCATGGTCCAGTAAACAAATACCTTACACAAAGTCGAGTCCCTTCAGTCCTGGAGGGTGGTCGTTCCATCGTACTCAACGGGCTATGGTAATCTGTAGGGGGGGGGATTTGATATATCCTCTACAGAAACGTCCCTACCTTTACCGCATTAAATACACTGCAGACACCCTAACCCTGACATAAAACTGCAAATATACACCCAAAACACAAAAATAAGTGCCAAATTAAAGGAAGAAACATGATCTGATTCCCCTCCCCCCCTATGATTTTATTTACAGATCTGTGACAAAGCGCATGACTGTTACGCTTCCTGTCAGCTTGTACAATGTGAGCAAACTGGTCATTTGACATTGTCCCCCTCATCTGAATTTCAGCTGCCAGGTGGTGTGTGTGTGTGTGTGGGGGGGGCAGACCATTCGAGAGACCAGGAGGGTGTCTCCGCGAAGCACGTGCTGCTCCCCTTACAGCTTTTCTCAGCACAAATCGCCGTATCCGTCAGATGCGTAACGGTGACGGCATTATGGGAGTTGAATGGTCGTTTGTAACTGTCTGGCGGATCGATAGAGTTCAGGTGGGGCACCGGCCCCGTGTGACGAGCCGAAACACGGCAAAAATACGTACAGCCTGCGTCTGCACTGCAGGGCTCAGCCCGAGATGCTGTGCAAATACCGGTACCTCTCAAGGTTTGAAAACTTACCGCGTGGCTAAAAAGGACACTGCTACCTACGAGGCTGTTCGGGGTTAGGCTGTGCATCACGTGTTTGGGCCAAACTGACACTACAGAAGGGCCTTTAGCGCGTAATCATGTGCATCAGATGCTATTCAAATGCTCTGAAATTCCAAAGTATTCATTCTCGATGGAGACATTTTCAAATATTTACTTTCATAGTTGCAATAATCAGGTCATAACTTTAAGAAACCATATCCACTTTTTGTCTTAAGTCACTGCATAAGAGACATATTTTTTCTTAATGAAATTTAGTGCCTGGTTAATTTTAAAGTTCAAATAATATAATTATTCGACATTTTTTTCAAATTGACATGATCTAATTGTGAAGACGTGCAGCTGAATATGCTGAACAGAAAATGCATCCTTCATTTTATAAACTATTCCTTTACTAAGCGGTATTTATTTCTGCCTATTAAAAAGCAAGCAAATAATATTTTAAAACATGAAAAGATAAGCATCATAATTAAACTGCAGTTGAGCATGCAGTGCATTCCAAATGGCAGTGTACTCAATGCAATTTCCTATTTATAATGCCTATTAAGAATTAATTTTATGTTGTTCACAAAATCATTGAAGTTTACCTAAAAATTATGAAAGGCTTCATTCATTGAATTCATTCATAAGTCACTCTCAAGTAATCACTAATAACACTACATTTCTTGTGCAACACTAATTAATATATTACATACACTTTATGAATATAACACATGTTCTAGCCATTTGTAAAGCCAGACAGACCTATGTGGATTTTACATTCTCTTTTTTCATTTTGAGAGTTAGTCACATTATTTATTTAAAACACCAAATTAAAAATTCCCAAGTTTGTAAGTACGACTCGGCACTCATGACAAATGGCATTAATTTATATGATAAATATTTTAAAACGATAAAAGCGAATGTCGTGGCACTGAAGACAAACACAGCTCCCGGATATATTTTGTTAGCGCACGGGATGTGGTGTGCACATCCCCATGTACACATTGTGTTTAGCGATGCTAAGTCCTCGGCTGACGAAGAACCGGGAATCAATACAGCTACTGGCTCTCTGGCAAAAAAACAAAATACCACGATAAACTGCGGAAAAATTCAGACAAAAACCCTGCTTTGTTTCTATTGCTCTCTTATTTCTCTTAAACAAAACCCTGCCTTGTTTCTATTTGTCTTTAATAAACAAAATGTCTTAATAAATTTACGCCAATTAAATTTTTAAGTGAATTATAAATTTGTGATGATCATGACAGAAGGAATGGAGGCACAGGTGCAGCAGCTAAACATCGTCCAGTACGGCTTTATTTGTGGCTCTTTCTGCCAGTGCGGGATATTCAGGCGCTATACACAGCTTGTATAGACCTTTGCTTTTTACAGATCTGCCCTTCTGCTTAAATATACAGTCGTTCTATTCCAGCATCTCGATACACATGTAACTACATTCTTCTTGTATTTCGTACGCATGAAAACTACGCAAATTTAACAAATATTCCAAAACGCCGGTGCATTTTATAAAATTGCCAATGCCTTTTTTAGTACCTAAAACATAAATGTAAAACATAAAAAGCTAAGTAAGTGAATAACTCAGATTATGTAACAATTCTTCTATATTTAATTTTTTTCTTCATATTGAAATATAATAAGTTATTGTCCTTCATTTTTACAGGTATAAATGATTAGCTGCGAGCAGGATAATTAAACATGCAAGACCGGCGCCAACACAAGGCACTTAATTAGATAATGCAGCCAGAATGGGATACTGCTATAGTAAACCCATTAAGTAATTAGGTTAATGATTCGATTGATCTTTTTGCTGGATATGTGAACTAATTATGGAAGATGATAATTTCACAGCTGCCAACGGCTCTCACTGCAGGAGTCCCTGATAGGAGAGGAGTGTGGCGGCTGGGATTACGGATGGCCAAGCGGGGAATTCAGGCTGGAGAAAAGGCCGTCACTCTAGACAGTGTCTTTAATAGCCAGTACCAGGGAAGCAGGGAATTATATTCTTTTTACAGGTGGGGACTGAACTCGCAAACCCTATTCAGATACCCTACAGCACAGGGACATGATACTCGGTTTCACGGAAATGCAAAGTTCATTACTGTCGTTAATCTGAAAACATGAGTGATGAACCCAAAGCCATCTGGAGATTCACTCTTGGGGATTGGTGGGTGGATCCGACACTGGTTACTGTATAGAGCAGCCGATTCTGCGAAAATGAGCAGGAATAGGCCTGTCTTAGGGATCCGAACGGCTGCAGCGTGACATTTTAAGAACAAGAAACTGTTTTAGTTCATTCATACGACTATTATCAATTCTCAGTAAGTTTCATTACAAAGATTTCAGAAATAAAATGCGGACTTTGAATTTTAGCAGCATTTCAGTAGCGCTCTTGCCGGAACACCCGAATTTCATGTCTAACGAAGGTTCCTGAATTTGGGCAGCAGTTAAGTCATTTTTGGAGCCGAAGGACGATATAAATCGCTGGAATATCCACCGGCGGGACTGAAAGAGAGTACAGAAATGTGACTGTGCATAGGGTAACAGAGCTGGTTAGGGACGGCCTCAGACAGGGACCGGGGCTGTCTGCAGTTCTAAATCAGGCAGAAAATTTGCTCGCATTGTTGGAAGGCTGTGTTTCATTCCAGTCAGAGGGAGAGCATTCACCTTATGAAAGCCAGGCCCATAAATAAGCCCATTAAATGGATGCAATGTCTGAACAGAGTTTTAGGAAATGTGCATGAACGCTTGCGGTGCCTCTCTACAGCGAAGAGGAAGCACAGCACAGGGTTCTAGCAGAGACATGGCATTAAAGGCCGCAGAGGAGGTGCCAGGCGTACCCGAAACTGACAGCAGTACAGAGCAATAGAACCCAGTTTGGGTGGCACCATCGTTTAATAGCAGGCCTGGGGCTTTGAACACAGCTTGGGTGGCACCATTGCATCATAGCAGGCCAGGGGCTTTGAACCCAGTTCCACTGTGCATGTGGAGTTTGCACGTTCACCCCATGCTACACAGATTCCATCCCATAGTGCAAATGAGGCTGACATTTCTGAATTGCCCGCAGTGTGTCTGTGCCCTGCTATCGGCTGACGTCCCGCCCAGGATGTACCTGTGCCCCATACTGCCTGGGAAAGGCACCAACCCCCACCAGGATAAGCGGTTAGAGAATTGATTAATCCAGTTCTTGTGTAAACTCTGCTCGACAGCAAAGACATGGCAAAATGGCAGTAAGTGTGCGACATTTGTGGTCATTATGTACCGACTGGCCCACTTTCATGCAGGCAGACGCTACGTTTACCTGCAAAATGCCAGGAATGGCGGCAAATTCCCGGTCTAACAGGCAGGCGCGTTACCTGCCCAAAGGAAAAAAAACGATCATCAGCAGGCCTGTATGAAACAGAAGAGCAAATTACATATAAATATATATTTTAATACTAAATCCAGATATTCATATTTCACACGTCAAAATGTGAAATATCAGTTCTGTTATAGATTGACAGATACTAACGAATATATTGCATTTAAATGATTTTTTATAAGTCTGATAAATTTTTCCAAAACGAAGCTGATGATTCATTTCATAAACTTGTTATAATCATACTGTTATTCCCCACGACTCCATACAGGATAATCTGTCGGAGGATGGATGGATTATTATAACTTTTTCAAAAACCCAAAAGTTAGACTGGCTACTTTGTGGATTGTAGAATAACCTAGTTGCATTTGCTTTAAAATTACACCCGAAACTCTTGAAAACTAGTGATTGCCCGCAGGTAGGAGCTGGGAAACACCGAGAACATTACAGCTGGCGTGGTTTACCTGAGCTGTCTGCCTTCCTGCGATTTATTTCCACGCGCGATGCCTGCGATGCGCGGCTTTGACGGGGACGGCCGGACCCCGCGGCAGCGCGCCTCCGCGTTATTTCCGGCTCCCGGTGCTTCTCTGCATGATAGCCGCCGAGAGCAGACGTCTCCGGAGCGGGGAGAAGGCGGCCACATGAGCCGCCGCAACTTTTGTTTCTTTTCATTTTTATAGCCCAATCAATTGTGCGGCATGTTTTCTGACTTGACATATATGTCCTTGTTAAAAAAAAGGGGGGGGGCATCCAGACTGATTATCCAGTTCCCAGCATAACAATCGTAGTCAACTGATTATTGTGGTACGTGTAGGACAGTCAAGGTGACTGAAATTTAGTTCCTACATACAGGCACAATAAATCCAATACATTTATGAACACAGATATAATTATTCAATGTCCTCAAAGCAAATGAAGGCATTCAACTGCTTAATATTCATACCCACTTAAAATTGATGCACTTAAAAGATTTTGAATCATTTTTCCGCTCGCATTATTTTACTATTGTACTTAATATGCAGTGAAACCAGCAAAGTCAACGTTACCGCCATGCTAAAAGCCATAAAAACGCAGATGTAAGCTATTTAGAAAAAAATGTTTAATAAATTGCAGAAAAAACTGAAAACAATATTCTGGGGAAAATGCACTCTTAATAATTAATAATTAAAAATATGCAGAGTGATTTCACTAGATGCTGTTGATATGGGGCTGGACGGAGCATAAAACCCGATGGTCTTCGGCGATACAACCATGTGGCGAAGCCGTCGCAGTATTTATACGTGTCTAATTGACCCGGCGAGGCGCGATAAAGGTGGGAAAGGCGCGTGGGTGACTCCCTCGGCTCCCATCATAAATCACGGCGAAGCTCAGACAAGCCACCCGGACGCAAATTCTGATGATAGATGACCCATTTAACTTTGATTTCTTTTGGATGCAAACAGCTCGCCCAATACAACGCGCCGCCACTTACGGACTCGTGGAAAAAATCAATCGGCGGATCCGGACGCTGAAATAATCGTACAAACGAAAGTTATTAAAATGTTGACGGGGTACGATGCGCGAAGTCGCGCGGCCCTGAGCCTGAAGCCCCCCCCATATATGCGATTGCAGGGGACGGGAAATTAAAATACGGCCGTCATGACAAGCTTGTACAAGTTACAGAATTCAAATGACTGTTTTATTATTTATCAGTCGGGCCCATCGGCTGTCCTGCTTTCTGCCTGTAACTCCTCACTTCTGTTAAAGGGCGGTGATTTTCATCCTGAGAGATTATTGCTCACATGCAAAACAGTCTGTTCAGGTGTCACAGCAGAAAACAGTGAGCATATGACTAGATGGATGTCTGTTAAAGTCCCGGGGGGGGGCATCCTTCCGCCCCCGTGCAAGGTACTTAACCTGGAATTGGCTCAGTAACTATCCAGCTGTATAAATGACTAAAATTCAGGCCCAGAAGTTGTGTAACCTACTACCACAAAGATAATAATTACTTTTAAAAAGCGGGCCACTTCCACACAGTTCGTTCCATCAAGTAGCCTGGGCTGGCTTTGCATGCCGCCTGTGTGACCATGACTGTTTGCCACACTGTAATCTCACATGTGATATTATGACAGCAAATCGCAGGGACTGACATCGAACATCACACCCAGTCCACCCACGAGAAACACACGTAGCCCTCATCTCCTGTCTCTCTCTCTCCCTCCCCCCGCTGTTTCTTCTGTTTCCCCTCTCCCCGGTAACGGTAACGCACGTTGTCAGCCCCGGCGCACCTGTCTGCTCTAATTGTGTGACTCTGCCAGAGGCAGCGGCGGTACACGAGACAGCAAGCGGCGAGGGCCGCGGGGAAGCCGGCGCCGGGACGGCCCAATGCCCTCGCAGCCGCGGCGGTCAGATCACGTGACCTGACCGCCGAGGCCCGTCTCAGCTGGGACTTGGGCGCCGTTGGCGTGACTCTGACACTGCACCCCCCACACACCTGGGGCCCATCTGGGTTGTCCTCCAGCTAGGATGCACAGGAAAGAAAAAAACTGCGATTAAGATGGATGGGGGGGGGGGGGTACCTGAAACAGTCCCCCTGTCTTCACATGCTTGATTTCACTCCTTAATTAGGGCCATTAATCAGCAGCTTTGCGATAGGAGGCCCAGTGACACGTCGTGGTGCCCCTTCTCAAACTCGCACACGTTTCGGACTTCCCGCGCCTCCCGGTCGCCTCGGACGTGGCCCCTGTCGCCACCGAGCACAGAGCGCCGGCCCGCAACAACGCTAGGGCTGATTAAATCCCGGATCAATTAAAACTGAAGGCCATAAGGAGTGTGGTAATTACAGCGGTTTTATAATGCAGCTAAACAAACAAGTGCTTGGCCTGAACCTTCAGTTCACAGCCAATAAAAGGTATTGGAAACACAGTGAAAACACACAAATCTAATTAAACACCAGCAGTTTCGACACAAATGTAAAAATAAAATACCATATCAATAAGGAAAACAGAGAATAGTTACCATTTATTAAACCTGCTCACATGCATTTTCTAATATGAATCTTTTAAAGACGTATTTGATTTTTATCGTAATGAAATAAAAAAATAATAATTAGCTATATAAGGTTGATTAGGTCAAGGTGTAACTTTACATAGTGGTTTGGAATTCATCCCCATAATTTATATCGCTTAAATTATATGTGAATTCTTCTTCTTCTTCATTATTGTTGTTGTTATTATTATTATTTGTTTGTTTGTTTGTTATTAAAGAATGTGTCTTTTTGTTACAGGTGAATAAGACCTGGCTTGCATGGATGGAACCAACCCAGCAGAATGTGCCGGATCTGTGTGGCGTGTCATGGCACATCTGACAACTTGGTTGACGTTCTTCATCTCCAAGGTGACAGCATTCTCATCTTTTAACGAGTGTTTTCTGGTAGCAAAGAGAAACACAAGGCTTAACCAGTAATCATAGGAAACACCTGTAGCTATTATGTGTCCATTTAATAAATGCTTATCCAGCCTCTCCCACATCCTCTCCCGCAGCCTCTCCCGCAGTCTCTGCCGCAGCCTCTCCCACAGCCTCCCCTGCAGCCTGTGCCACAGCCTCTCCTGCAGCCTCCCCTGTAGCCTGTGCCACATCCTCTCCCGCAGCCTCTCCCGTAGCCTCTTCCATATCCTCCCCTGTAGCCTCTTCCACATCCTCTCCCACAGCCTCTTCCACATCCTCTCCCGTAGCCTCTGTCACAGCCTCTGTCACAGCCTCCCCTGCAGCCTCTGTCACAGCCTCTCCCACATCCTCTCCCACAGCCTCCCCTGCAGCCTCTGTCACAGCCTCTCCCACAGCCTCTCCTGCAGCCTCTGTCACAGCCTCTCCTGCAGCCTCTCCCACAACCTCTCCCAGGGAGCACAGGATAGGGGTGACAGCTGGGACCGGCAATTTAAAGACACCTAAATAAAATATATTTTGATTTCGTTAGTAAACTGGAGTATTCAGATGAAACCCGCATAGACACAGTGTCAGCAGGGACTGGAATCGAACCTGCAGCCCTGGGGGTGTGAAGCCAAGTTTCAAAAAGCATATTTATTAAAAAAAAAAAAAAAAGGGTGCTTTGCACTAATGTTGTACAGCAAGTGAAATCATTTCAGCTCGTCATGAAACAGGTGCATTTCAGAGCGCATTTCAGAGGAGCGAGTGAGGCGTAAGAATGACTCAAACAGGGGCTTTACTGTTCCGGAACAATCTCTGCCAGTCATGCTCACAGAGAGTGCTGTTTACATATCTGCTGCTGTTCGCTGGACTCTCAGTCGGCGATGGATTTTAAAGAGCCCGTCATTCAAATCGGCCAGCCAGGAGACACCTGCCAACAGAAGGTGTGTCACTAGAAAATCGTTGACACCCCCCCCCCCCATGCAACTTATAGATTCAATATCCACGTGTGTATGTCTCTGTCACTGAGTAAACAAACGCATTCTAAAGTTCACATGCTAATATCTGACATTTAGCCAAACTTTACAGAGCAAAAGGACGTATTAAATAGATTTGATCCTATTAATGTTTTCCATGAAAAGAATAATTATAAAGAATACACATATAATCGCAGAACCATATACAGTATGAAGGATGCATGAAATAAACAACATTCTCTCTCTCTTTCCCTCTCTCTCTCCCACACACACACGTAAAATATATATATATACATACAAATATGCATGTTCTTTGTTAACATCTTGTGATTGAATGTCTTTTGTTTTGCAATTTATTTCAATTTGTTGTTTTTACAACTTTATGTGGGATTAAATAAAATTTTCAGAGAACATCCTTGTTTGCACTAAAGTATAAAATAGCACGAGCCATAAGATTTCATTACATTTCACTGATTTACTATTTAATGTAACATGCTAAACAATTTATTAGGACGAACTGAAAAATTTGTATAATCCTATACTGACGAGACATAAAATATGTTAATAATGGCAGATCTACAAGTTCTGATATGAAAATGATCGTCAGAAATACACAGAATGTATGAATATTGCATGGGCTGACATTTGTAGTGATGTGGGAGGGTTTATTGTATTTTAGAGAACACAAAGGCCCCCCCCTGAAGGTCCACTGGGAGACGGTGACAGAAAGTTTATTTCATTGTCATTGGCTGTTTGGTGTCCAATCAGCACATCTGATTGTTCATCAGTATTAATCCTAAGCTCACATCAGATACACTACGACAGCCAGACAATCAAATACATTATGTGAAAAAAGCAGATATTTTCACACAAGAAAACAAGCAGAATTCCCCAGAAAACATAAAATCCGTTGAATTTATTGTGTCTTTGTTTTTTTTTTCTTTGATGTGCTAGAATCTCAGAAGCAATGAGAAGTAGCTATAAGAAGACCTTCAGCAGCAGAGCTTAGTTGTCCTTCATGGGAATCGCTAAGATGATTTATTAATTCAACAATCCAAGAAGCCAAGGTTACTATGGTGACCATGTAGACGAAGTCAAGTAAGATGAGCAATTTGTATTTAGTGACCCTACATATCAACACTTTGTTTCTGAAAGGACTTCAAAGACACGCAAAAAAGGTTACATTACTGCGACTGGTCTAGCCTATAGATACTCTATAGATTCTCATGTAAGGATTATGGAAAAAGAGGCCACAGTTCTATCCATTTGGAGAGATAATTGCCTCCAATCTACCTTGAAAAATGTTTCCTACAGTGAATTTGAGCAGGAGAGAATAACCAAGGTCTGAAGAAATGGCTCCTTTGAAACGTCCAGGGATGCCTCGTTTGTCACGCTTTTGTACACAGGGCATCCAATGGCATCTGTTAATAACCCCCCCACACACACTGACGGCCCACGGGCCCCAGCGGTAGGCCGGGCACGGCCGCCCAGCAAAGTCACCTCTCACTGGGAGGAGCGCTGCGTTTTGAGGGTGCAGTGGGGATTAGAGAATACTGACCCAGCAAATCCAATTCATTATTATTCCATAAAGTTGTTACTGTCCCATACAAGCTCCTGAACCTGACCACCATTTCGCTGGCTGGACAGTTTTCCTCCCTTTTAAAGCCTAGTAAATAACGCAAATATCAGAAGAGAGTGCCCATTATAGATAATGGACACTTATGCAAAGTAGATTCGGCAGGGTCGGGGTAGCATTTCCACAACAGGATCAAAGCGTGCTAGCATGCTAGCATGTGGGAGTGAACTGCGCTCGCATTACAAGGGGGTAACAGAGACGCCTTCTAGCATAACGGGAGCTGCAGAGGTAGATTACAATGATTTAATCAATGCTTACATTTTTTAAAAATTCCCCACAGGAAAATCTGCTTTCCTGAATGTTCTCCATTGACTTTGATTTAATCTTATAAGACGCTGTTGCACATTAACCAGTTAGCACAACAGCCTGCTTTAACAGCAGTGCCTTAGCCTGCAAATTAGCACATTACGCTGTAAACATTTAATCTGCATCATCATACCATCAGCGAGCTGCATCCCGAAAGCAGTGCTTAAAGACATTTTAAAAACAATGTGCCTGCGGTAAATTTGCACTGGAATTTGCTTACATTCTATGCATTCAGAGATAGTCACTGGGAAATTACAGAGGGGATGTTTATTCCTCATGATGTACCCAGCGACGGGCCGGCGTCCCTTTCCAGGGTGTCCCCCACCCAGCAACGGACTGGCATCCCTTCCGGGGTGTCCCCCGCCCCATGACGGGCCGGCGTCCCTTCCGGGGTGTCCCCTGGCTTATGTCCAATTGCTCCTGAGAAGAAAGCTACAGATTCACCCTGGTTATGGAAGATGGAAGCATGAATAGAATAGAATAGAATAGATGCTTTTATTGTCTTTGAACATAAGGTAATAATTTCCCTCAGGATGAAGTTTTATTGAAGGTACAATGAAATGTAACAAACAAGTCCCTGAACGATACGAATAATTAAAAAAATAAATTAAATAAACCTAAATAATTACATACGCAATATATATATTCCTTGTGATAATGATATTCCTTTTGATGTCAAGCGAACTTCATTTGGCTTCAAGTGGAATTTAGCTGAACATACTTACCGCACAGCGTCGGAACATCCAGGTCCCCCGTCTCTTAGGACTGCTGAGGGCCCAGACACCAAGACCAGTGGGCGGAGGCACAGTTTCAGGCAGTTTCAGTCGAAGGCATATGCCAGACACACCTGACAGGACTGGCACAGCTGATCATCCCGGTGTTTTCGTTATAACACGGAAGAATCGCACATTTTTCATTTTCTACTACCTAACAGCAGGGGCTATATTTCACATCCAGGATTCCCCACTTACTAATGATAGGGTATAATCACCACACAATACTCTTTGTGAAATCAAAATCCTTATTTGATTGTATACATGTATATACACATATTCATATATACCTATATATAAATATACATGCATCTACTGTGTATACACACACACACACACACACACACACATAAATACGTATATCAGGAGCCGGATCCCTGAGAACATCACACTTTAACGTGCAGTGCCAATATAAGGAAGCCTTCAGAAGCGCTAATACGGGAGGCTAATTTATGCGCTAACCACTTCACATCCTTGGCAAAATGTCAACAACTACATGCAAATTTCCTCCCTTTGATCACAACACATGTGCAGATTAAATTCAAGCACAAAAGCTGTCAAGAGCCCCAAATGTTCCGTGGAGGTTAATAGTATTATTTGACAATTTGCATTTTTAATTATGCTCCTTGTTATGGATAAGTACTATTTATTCAATTTAATCCATTGTGTTGCTGGCATGTTTTCAATTAAAATTCACTGATCCAGAATGGGAGTGTGTGCGGGAGGCCGGGCGAGGGAAACATTCATCACCGCGCTAAACCCCATGCTAACAGCCGTGTCACCGAAAGCCCGTCTCACCGAAAGCCCGTCTCACCAAAAGTCCACCGGATCCTGGCATCCGTAACAGCCGCCCGTCTGCGGCACTTTCTCGGACTCTCTACCCAGAGCTTTCGATCTTAACGCCCGCAGGAGCGTTTTCCGCTAAGTCAGAGGCCATCGGGGCCTAGTCGCAGAGGAGAGAATAAGCAAACGTGGAAAAAAACACTTGTCATACTGTGAGCAAAAATGAAGAATGTCAATGTTCCCCATTTCAATTCAAAGGAGCTACTAAAGGACAGCAAACATCCCGCTTCCTCCTTCGTGATATGGGACACTAACGTAGTACCTAATATCAAAACAACCTGCAGTCAAGAAATTAAAACATTGTTATATATATATATATAAAAAAAAAGCAAATGAGATTTTTTTTCCAAAACGACTAGACCAAATACGAAGTTGTTATTGTTATTTTTTGTGGCTGGTTTATGTCAGCGATGCATTTCATGATTAATCATAATTTGCTCTAGGTTAGAGCAGGAAAGTCAGGGATATCAGCCGCAACATCACACTTAATTGCCTTACAGCTATGAAAACAACAGCATATAACAATAAACACATAACAAAAACCTGACAAATGCATTTTTTCAATGATATAATATTAATTCTGTGGGAATCATTTGCTGTCATCAGATACATTGCAGGGATTCAGGAAATTGAGGAAATGCGTACTTGCATGATGGAGAGCGTGTGGTATTTTTATTGAAATCAAAACGGCACAAAAACATCATTCCACACGGCGAAATGACAGAAATTTTAAAGCCCTGTGGCAAAATAATTCATTGAAATGGGTTTTAAAATGAGATGCTATTGAAGGACAGAGAGGGGATAAACTCAGCATTCTAAATGCTAAACATGTTAGCATCAGATCAGGGCAGACCTGGGAGGTCCAGGGCAGACCAGGGAGTCCAGGGCAGACCAGGGAGTCCAGGGCAGACCAGGGAGTCCAGGGCAGACCAGGGAGTCCAGGGAAGACCATGGCGATCCAGACCATTGGCACCAAAGGAAAACTGCAATGGAAACATCAAGGTTCTTTGGAGCCTCAGAATCGGAAGATGCAGACAATGGCTCCTGTTTCGGGCTCACCTGGCGGATTCTAATGAAGCAGCTGAGATAGTCCTTCTTCAGCGAGATGAATCACTCCGCTTGAATGCCATCTTCAAGGGTACCGCAGGCCATCTCATCTACTCTAGCAGGACCCCCCCCCCCCATCTTTCATATTCATTTAATCACTTTTCTGCCTAATGCATAAAACCTGTTGCTGAATTTATGCAACCACAGAGGAGACGAGTCTTATTTAAGTGAATCGACCACGCTCATGCCCGGCGTCCGGCCCCTGGTGCGCTCACTCGCACGCTCATGCCCGGGCGTCCGGCCCCTGGTGCGCTCACTCGCACGCTCATGCCCGGCATCCGGCCCCTGGTGCGCTCACTCGCACGCTCATGCCCGCATCCGGCCCCTGGTGCGCTCACTCGCACGCTCATGCCCGGCGTCCGGCCCCTGGTGCGCTCACTCGCACGCTCATGTCCGGCCCCTGGTGCGCTCACTCGCACGCTCGCTTCACAGACACGGCTCTTGCTGTTGGATTCACGCTGGACAGAAGCCTTTGTGCCTTCACATGCCGCTTTGCTGCTCTGCTTATGCACAGACTCTGATCAACAGGCGTTTTCGCTCTTGCTAAAGTGCTGGTGCTTTTCTACAGAAAATGTCTTCAACAAACCTCTGAGTGCGAAAAGCCAGAGACATTCTGTACTCAGATATGTACCTGTGTCACACCCCTGTACTCTCTCCACACACACACACACACACACACACACAGAAGATAACTACAGCATCAATCAAACTGTTAGTAACTTGTGATGACGGCTGTAGTCAGAAACGCATTTTAGTGTGATAAATGCACCCTGTAATTGCAGTTATTTTTCTTGGGCCATTGTGGAAAACAGAAGTACTGTTTCACTATTTTAACTGAAATATATACATATATTTTCAGAGAAAAAAAAGTTTCCTTTTTCAAAATTAAGAGTTATATGAATTTCTTTCTCGCTGCTTTTAAACATTTAGAGGTTAGGGATTTTTCATATCCTGTTATTGATTAATCAATACTGCATTTTTACTTAAATATGCAAGTGCAGTAATCAGCTGTTTTTGCACAGTTTTTCTTTGACTGCATAAATACATTGTTTATATGTTTTTCACTCCATGCAAAGTGTGCTTTTTGCCCTTGGGTTACACATTGTTTCAAGATAAATATATATCATACTGAAACGGTGTGGCCTGCATCTCACCTTTGTACCAACCCTGCACTTTACAAACCCTTTCGAATTTGTCAAAGGAAAACAACCTGCAATAAGAAATGCGACGGGCGATGAGCTAAACCACACAGCCTCTGGGGCAGAATGCAGCGGCTCACACAGAGCGCAGGGCTTAACGCACAGAGTGCAGGGCTTAATGCGCGGCGCACAGCCCAGCAACGCAGATCCTAGCAGCTGCAAACAAGCAACATTATTATAGTAGTAGTAAGAAGGGGCTGCTTCATTTTGTCTGACTTCGATTCCCTCGTCTCGGCTTTCTGAAGCAGTAAAAGCGCACAGACAAAGGATCGTATTACTCTCAAACTGCCCTGAGAAACAAATTACATTTAAAATGTATATATGTTTGTTATAAAATTAATTACCTAAAGAGAGACCCTCAACCGCTAGGTTAATCTTTTTCTTCCAGAAGTAGTATGATAACTTGAGTTTTCTTTACAGTTTTTTAGTTTACTTACCTGTAACTATCTGTAAACAGAGTGTATTTATTAATGATGCCCCTAGTATGTTACGTCAGTGTTTACCGTACCTTAGCTAGCTAGCTGGTCCCCACATGGGCACAGCAGAATGAGACGGCGCATTGTGTACGCAAAAGCTGCTCGCTGGCCACGTAACGGCCGTCAGACGCCCCCTTCACCAAGGCCAATCTGCGGCCCGCCGGCCTGTCTTCGCCCCGGGCCGGAGGCCTGCCTGCCTTTCTGAGCCCGGGGTGCCGTGCGCGGCGTGGCGTAATTCGCGGAGAGGAGGGAGCGCCCGTCTCTCGCCTGCTGAGAAGCCGTCCGCGGCTCGCAGCGGCAGCAGAGGAGCGAGCGCCTCCCCCCCCCCCCCCCCCCGGCCACCACAGGCTCAGTAAGAGTCAGATTCTGTTGCAGCTGCGTGTTTGTGTTCTGAT